TGGGTAAGTGACATACATGGCACTAGTGTGTTTTTATTTTAAATAAGCAGTAACAAAGTTATTCACAAGTCATAAGGCCAATTATAAAATTAAAAAGATCAATTAATAGAAGGAAAACATACATAACATAGATAGACAGACAGATAGAAGGAATGATCAGATAGGAAGACAGACAAGAGCAGAGGTTAGAATCTATACGGACCAATTGCACAGTTCATCAACACAGCATTAGTGGCCCATGGTTGCAGGTCATAATAATGTCATAATAAGCATTTCTAAACCTGGGTTGTGATAAACAGATTAAATATGAAACAGAGACATGACTCCACTTTATAAATGGACGATTTATATTACACACAAAATTGATCACTACCTACTCATAAATGTATGGGAACTACCCATCAATGCAGCACAGCTGTGTAGTGGTGGTACTATGCATGCGTTTAATGCTTACCATTGATTTCTTAGAGCAAAACATGATATTTAATGTAGTGAAAATTTACAGTGAGGGAAAAGTATTTGATCCCCTGCTGATTTTTAAGGTTTGCCCACTATCAAAGAAAGGATCAGTCTATAATTTTAATGGTAGGTGTATTTTAACAGTGAGAGACAGAATAAAAAAATAATCAAGAAAAACGCATGTCAAAAAAGTTATAAATTGATTTGCATATCAATGAGTGAAATAAGTATTTGACCCCTTCGACTTGGCGACAAAATCCAAGTCATTAAGGTTTCAAGGTTGACGTTTGGCAACTCAAACCTTCAGCTCCCTCCACAGATTTTCTTTGGGATTAAGGTCTGGAGACTGGCTAGGCCACACCCGGACCTTACTGTGCTTCTTCTTGAGCCACTCCTTTGTTGCCTTGGCTGTGTGTTTTGGGCCCCGTCCATCGTCCATTTGATGCGGTGCAGTTGTCCTGTCCCCTTAGCAGAAAAAGACCCCCTTGTTTGACAATGGGGATGGTGTTCTTGGGGTCCCTCTCTGAACACAGCGAGTTGAGTTGATGCCAAAGAGCTCGATTTTGGTCTCATCTGACCACAACACTTTCATCCAGTGCTCCTCAGATGTTCATTGGGACTTTAGACATGGGACTTTAGACATGCTTTCTTGAACAGCGGGACACACAAACGTTAGACATGCTTTCTTGAACAGCGGGACCTTGCGGGCGCTGCAAGATTTCAGTCCATCATTACGTAGTGTGTTACCAATTGTTTTCTTGGTGACTATCGTCACAGCTGCCTTAAGATCATTAACAAGATCCTCGCGTGTAATTCTGGGCTGATTCCTCACCGTTCTCATGATCATTGAAACTCCATGAGACGAGATCTTGGATGGAGCACCAGTGTCACGGTTCTCGCCGTGACATCCAGGCATGGTCACCTTAGAAGTGTCCAGCAGGGGATTTGAACCTGAGGTCTTATGCAGCCCAAGCCTGCATTCCTGCCTCTGAGTCACTTCAGTTCTTGTTTTGGCCTGGAGCTTATCCTTGCCATGTCTCCAGCACTGGGGGCTGGACTTGTGACTGCTACTGTTACTGATGGTCCATCTGTAGCTGATCACTAATTAGCCAGGTATAAGACACTGCCTCTCCCTGAGGGCAGTGTCAGTTCATTGACTTTGGTTCCTGTGTTTGTATTCGTGATCCAGTGTTCTCCAGTTGGCTCCTGACCTTGGCTTTTGTATCGTGTATCCTGACTTCTGGCATCCTCTGACTTTTGCTTACCTTTGTCTATCCTGACTTCTGGCACCCTCTGACTTTTGGCTTACCCTCGATGATTCTCCTGTTTGTGTCCTTACCTGTACTGCGACTTGGAGCAATATCCCACACAGCCCCCGTGCACAGACTCACAGGCCAGGTGAATTCTTGGTCAAAGTGGGATCAGCGCTAAAATGCCACAAAATTGAGGGGTATATATATTGATCAGGCAGCACACCTAAAAAAGGGGAGTACCCTCCAATCCCCTACAGATAATTAGAGATAGAGCAAAAAAGGGAAGGGTGCACCTTTAATATAAAATATAAACAAGGGACAACTATGGGGACCAGGTTTGCCCCAGTTATGCTAACCTTTTTATGGCAGAGTGGGAATCTACGGCCATTTTGGGAGAGCATGACTGGCAGGCAAACCTGGTCACATATTTTAGATATATCGATGATTTATTTTTTATTTGGGAGGGTACTGAAAACTCCCTTAAGCAGTTTTTACTTTTTTTAAAATCAAAATAATAGTGATATAGTTTTAACATGTGAATATAGTCAATCTCTTATCCACTTTTTAGATTTAGAATTTTTTATTCAAAACAATAAGGTACATACAAAAACTTTTTTTTTTTTTTTAAAGTGTGCACAAATAATGTGATTGATATGTCTAGTGGCCATTATAAACCTTGGCTTCATGGAATACCTAAGAGTCAGTTCCTCCGTCTTCGAAGGAACTGTTCCCTTACTCAAGATTTTGAGGTCAATCCCAGATGCTATTAAATAAATTCTCTCAAAAAAACTATCCCATAAATAACTTAAACCAAACTATAAAAAATGTCAGTGAAAAAGAAAGATTGGATCTCTTGGAGTATAGAGAAAACAAAATCTCCAAAAATGCCCCATCATTGCCAATTATCTTCCACTTCAATAACAAAAATAATGTTATGAAGAAGATTATCAACAAACATTGGCATATGTTAAAACAGGATGAGACTCTAGCTGGTATTATTCCTGATAAACCACATGTTATATTTAGAGGTGCACCCAGATTTAAATCCTTCCTCACAAGAAATTACACTAAACAAAGTCATACTACCTCTTCCTTTTGCCCCCCCCCCCTCCTTTTTAAACAAACCTAAAGGTTTTTTTAAATGTAACAAATGCATAGCGTGCAAACGTGTAGATGATACTATTGAATCAAAAAACACTTCTTTTAAATCATCTACCACACAAAGAACATACCCCATAAATTTTTTTATTCATTGTAGTACAAAGAACGTAATTTATTTATTAGAATGTCCATGTGGGCTTCAATACGTGGGTATGACTACTAGGGACTTAAAAACTAGATTGGCAGAACACTGCCAGAACATTCTAAAAGGTTATGAGAACCATTCAGTATCAAAGCACTTTTTAAAACATGGAAAAAAAACTAAATTTCTCAAATGCATAGGTATAGACAGCTGTAGTGTTCCTTGGAGAGGTGGAGATATCAAAAAAGATTTTAGGCAGTAAAGAAATGGAATGGGCATTTAATTTAAAGACTCCACAGGGTCTGAATATAGATTTTGATCTTTTTAATTTTTTATAAGTTCTATTTGTTTATTTTTACTAGCCTTGTTTATTTTATTTTATTTCCTTTTTATATTTTATTTTTATTTTTAATTTTTAAATGTTTATTTTTTTAACATTTTATATATGTTTATACTATTCTTTCATGGTTTTATATCAAATAAATGTTTCCCTTTGTTCTGTTTTTAATTTGCATCTCATTCTGCATCTTATTTATTTTTATTATGTTTATAATATTTAAGAATATTTTGATGTATTTATTAGTATATTATTTACCAATGGGGAAGTTTCTCTACAAGTTTTTAAATATGTGTTAAATATATATTCCTTTGCTGTATTTTCCAATATGACAATTAGAAATGATGTATCATTGTTGGTCACAGTCAATGTATCTTTGGAATGTGGAGTCTTGCCCTTTATTATGCTTTATTATGAGCCTATCTATGTAATGGGCTCCCCCTTCAAGTCCTGAACCTGGGGCCCATTCGGGTAGTGTGTATGTATGCTGTCTGCCCTACCATCTGAGCAGACAGCACATCAACACACACTTAGTCTATTTTCGCGATCGCCATAGGGCTCCTCCCCTTTGGTGACGCGACACCTCCTACAAGCATGCGTCTCACTTGTATGTGACGCATGTGTTTCATTGATAACCACATGACGCGGAAGTAAATTAACCGTGCGTCACGTGATTTTTATCTTATACAATTTATAACATACCAGCACCTCGTTTTTAATAGTTACATGTATAAATATTCTTCCCAGTATATTCAAATATGGTCTGTATAATTATTGTTCGTCTTTGCTATGTACTTTTTAATTAAGGTTATAATTACGTCATTTTGGTGGGAACATTTGAATTCCAATACAATTAATGCATCCTATATAAAGCTATGTAAGTCAGGTTTATGTTTTACTATTTTCTACTTGAAGAAGCCTGTTGTAGGCGAAACGCGTCTAGAAAAAGTTTTTATAAGTTTATATTTTGTTAAAATAAAGGAACTTTGGCTCTAAATATTTTGGTTGCCACTTTCCTTTCCTATTTTATCTTATTACTTATATTATTTTGTTCTTAAGCCTGACTACATTGTTCTTCATCATCCTAAGAGACGCCAAAAGAATCCTTAGGTGGGGATTATACCACCCACACGATATACATCGAGCAGTAAGGCCTGCTCAATATATTGTGAGTACATTTCATACCTTTTATTCTTTTACTACAGTAGATACAGTGAGCACTATATATTTTATTCTTTTTATTTTCGGCTGGAACCATCGCTGGATTATTGAATTTCTAGTTATACTCCATATATCCTTGAGTGGGGATCATTCCACTTCACGCATTTCATACCAGAGCTGGATTGTAGCTCTGGAAATTGTGAGTAGTACCTACTTATTCTTTATATCCAAGTATATTTACCTACTGCACCATTGGATTTCCGTTTTTCTGCTTCTTTTCCATATGTACCACTGAAATTACAGTGACGAATCACCACTGCTCTACAAGAATTTTCCTTATTATTGTGGACTTTATTATTCTGGACTAGTGTTTAGTCAGGTGAATTCTTACATGACCACCTTGAGCATATATCTCTGACTACCAAGCTGCTTGGCGATGGTCTTGTAGCCCATTCCAGCCTTTTGTAGGTCTACAGTCTTGTCCATGACATCCTTCGACAGATCTTTGGTCTTGGCCATGGTGGAGAGTTTGGAATCTGATTAATTGATTGCTTCTGTGGACAGGTATCTTTTATACAGGTAACAAGCTGAGATTAGGAGCATTCCATTTAAGAGAGTGCTCAGCTCGTTACCTGTGTAAAAGACACCTGGGAGCCAGACATCTTGCTGATTGATAGGGGATCAAATACTTATTTCACTCATTGACATGCAAATCAAGTTATAACTTTATAACAAGTGTTTTTCTGGATTTTTGTTGTTGTTGTCGTTATTATGTCTCTCACTGTTTAAATACACCAAAATTATAGATAGTGATGTCGCGAACATGAAATTTTTGGTTTGCGAACGGCGAACGCGAATTTTGGCAAATGTTCGCGAACCCGCGAACCGGGCGAACCGCCATAGACTTCAATAGGCAGGCGAATTTTAAAACCCACAAGTTGTTTCAAGGGGACTAACACCTGGACTGTGGCATGCAAACTCTGATCCGCGGCTGCATCTTGCAGCCGCTTAGTAGATAACTCCCTAATTCCCACGGTATTAGAGAGCTATCTACTAAAAGGCTGAAAGACCTAAATTGGTCTTTCAGCCACATTTACTAATACTAAGTAAAGATTACTTAGTATTAGTAAATTCTGCCCCTACTCGCTATGCAGCGAGTAGGGGCATGTCTAGTAAGCAGTGAGCAACCAGTGGCTGCTCAACTGTAAAAAAAAAAACCTATTGCCCCCACCCCTGTGCGACGGGTGGGGGCCATAAATTACAATGGGGGGAGGACCTACTGTCCTCCCCCCGGCCCCCACCCCTGGGCGGCGGGTGGGGGCCATAAAGATAATGAGGGGGGGGACCTACTGTCCTCCCCCCCTGCCCCCACCCCTGCGCGGTGGGTGGGGGCCATAAAAATAATGAGGGGGGGACCTACTGTCCCCACCCCTGAGCGGTGGGTGGGGGCAAATAAATCACAATGGGGGGACCTAAGGTCCTCCCCCCTGGCCCCCACCCCTGAGCGGCGGGTGGGGGCCCTAAATACTAAAAAGGGGGGGACCTAATGTCCTCCGCCCCGGCCCCCACCCCTGAGCGGTGGGTGGGGGCAAATAAATCACAATCAGCACTCTGATTGTTGGGTTTAAGCCATCCAATCAGAGTGCTCTGACAGGTAAATGAAGAGACTGACAGGTAAGTCTCTACATTTACCTGTCACAGCACTCTGATTGGTTGGTTTGAAATCCACCAATCAGAGTGCTCTGTGTCATTTTACACAGCGTGGGAAAGTTCTTTGGAATTTTCCCACGCTGTGTAATTTGACTCATAACTCTAATCCACCAATCAGAGAGTTATGAGTCAAATTACACAGCGTGGGAAAATTCCAAAGAACTTTCCCACGCTGTGTAAAATGACACAGAGCACTCTGATTGGTGGATTTCAAACCAACCAATCAGAGTGCTGTGACAGGTAAATGTAGAGACTTACCTGTCAGTCTCTTCATTTACCTGTCAGAGCACTCTGATTGGATGGCTTAAACCTACCAATCAGAGTGCTCTGAGCCTAATTGCAGGGCGGGGCAAGGCTTTATAAGCCTTCCCCCGCCCTGCAGAGCTCAGTCTGCGCGGAGCCCTCACCGGGTGAAGATGGATTATTTTATTTTATTTTTTTTTATTGCGTCGGTTATTATGGTTTTTTATTTGGCCTTTTTTGGGGCTGAAAAAAGAAGATTTAGAAGAAAGAAAACATCGAATGGTAAGTTTTTTTTTTTTTTACAGGTTCTTAGTTTAGGTCCCCCCCCCTCATTATTTTTAGGGTGAGGAGGGTAGGTAGGGGCTTAATTTTTTTTGGGGGGGGGCAGGGGGTGACTAGGGGTTTGGGGACCCCTAGTCACCTGGGGGGGGACACATTTTTTTAGGGCCCCCATCCGCCGCTCAGGGGTGGGGCCTGGGGGGGAGGACATTAGGTCCACCCCCTTTTTAGTATTTAGGGCCCCCACCCGCCGCTCAGGGGTGGGGGTCGGGGGGAGGACCTTAGGTCCCCCCTCTTTTTAGTATTTAGGGCCCCCACCCACCACTCAGGGGGGGACAGAAGTTCCCCCCCTATTGTATTTTTTAGGGCCGCCACCCACCGCTCAGGGGTGGGGGCCGGGGGGAGGACAGTAGGTCCCCCCCCCATATCATTGAGTAAACTTTGACAACCCCCACCCCCGAGCGGCGGGTGGGGGGGTTGTCAAAGTTTACTCAATGATATGGAATAGGGGGCGGACCGAACATCGCATATGTTCGCCCGCCGTGGCGAACGCGAACAAGCGATGTTCGCCGGGAACTATTCGCCAGCGAACTGTTTGGGACATCTCTAATTATTTACTGATCATTGCTTTGTCAGTGGGGAAACGTTCAAAATCAGCAGGGGATCAAATACGTTTTTCCCTCACTGTAGCTATACAATTACTGCTGTGTTTCTTAATAAAGATAAACAGGGCCGGACTGGGAAAAAAATTAGGCCCGGCCATTTTTCAATCAGAGCGGCCCCCTAAAAAGGGGGCGGGGCCAGAGAGGGTGTGTTTTGTCATCACTAATGACAAGCACGCCCCCTCTCAAAGTGAGCATGTTGGTTCAATATGCAGAGCCCCGCAGAAGAGCGCTAGCATGAGAAAAAAGGCCCTGTATTTGTTCTGCACAGCGCAAGCAAATTTAATAACATGCTTGCACTGTGTTTGCTTTTAAATTGTCTCTGGTGTCTTCATAAGTGGACAAAAGGGCCAGAGGACAAAAGGGCCAGGAAAGCGTATGGTGCATGTGTTTGGAGCCTGCTTGTGGGATTGCGTGTGTGTAGAGTGTGGTGTGGTATTGTGTAAATAGGTCAATTTCATTTGTGTTTGTGGTGTAATATGTGTGGCTAGGGGCTGTAGAGAGTGTGTGTATAGGGGCATAGTGTTATAGGGGATGTAGCGAGTGTGTGCATACAGGCTGTAGTGTGACATAGTGTGTGTAAGGGTTGTAGAGAGGGTGTGTTTAGAGAATGTTGTATGTGTTTGCTTACAAGGAATGTAGTGTGTGTAGGTGGTGCAGTGTGTGTGTGTAGGAGATCTAGTGTGTAAAGTATGTATAGCAGATTGTGTGTGTGTGTGTGTGTGTGTGGAGGATTAAGAGTGCATATAGGGTAAGGGATCTAGCGTGCATCTGGAGCATAATGTGTGTAGTGGTGCAGTGTGAGGGTTGCTGTAGTGTGTGTGTGTGTATATATAAATATATATAAATATATATATATATATATATATATATATATATATTTGGACATATTGTATGTGTGAGAGGTGCAGTGTGTGTGTATGTATGTGTAAGAGGGGTGCTGTGTGTGAGGATGTTTTTCTCTGCTGTCACATTCTATGTTTCTAATTTTCTTTGTCTGTTAACTCACTGAGGGTTATTTTATATATTATAGATATATATATATATATATATATATATGTGTGTGTGTGTGTGTTGTATATGTGTGGGAGGGTGCTGTGTGTGAGTGAGGGTGCTGTGTGTGTCTGAGGGTGCTGTGTGTGTGAGGGGGCTATTAGTGTGAATTTATTTTTTTATCTAAATTTATATATATTTTTTTATTAACAATAATAAAGTTATATCCCCCTGTTCCCTTCTTACCTTTAGCCTGGGAGGAGGGGGGGGTCCATTCTGCCATGGAATGGGGAGCCATGCTGCCTTCCCTGGTGGTCCTAGTGGTGAGAGTGAGAGTGAGTGGTAACCGCGGCAACGCTCAGTTATCGCGAGCGGAACCCGGCAGAGCTGCTGGCTAGAGCTCCACCGGGTCCTCTCTCCTCTCCTTCCCCAGCCAGCGGCAGTGTTACAGTGCCTGTGAGCCGGTGAGGGATATCTTTGATCTCCCCACCGGCCCACGAAGGCACACAGCAGGGCCGGTGCTCGGGTAGCGCAGGCCCTGCACTGGCCGTCCAGGGAGATCCTGTGATCTCCCCTGCCGGCCACGGCCCACGGCCATCGCGGCCCACCAGAGATTTTTAACAGAAAAACCTGTGTAAATGAAGAAAATATGTTCCTTACTTGTACAAATTTACTAGAATTAAAAAACCTTTGTTCTCTAGTGCAAACATATTTTAACTAGTTTATTCTCTAGTAAATATAGTGCGTGGAATGTCCCTTTAATATTTATATTGCAACAACTTATGCTACAGTGATACTAACTACACTTGTAAAACGATTATACAGAGCTTTTATTCTCTTGAAAAAATCAAATATAATAATGCAACACTAACCAGATTTATAGCGACAACATGACCAAAGACTTCATTGATCACTTTATGTCTCACAAGGAAAAAAAAACTTTTCTGGTTATGGTTTCACATTTGGGTCAGTTCCTCTCTCAATGGCTGGACAGGAATTTTCCTAATTAATTGTTTTGTCAATTAATAACAAATAGCAATAACATTTCTCTGCTAGTGGCCCTTAGTATCTTTACTGTAGTAATTCACACACGGAAGACACCACACTCACACTTAGGAATCCAGGTGCTTATCAGGGCCAGGGTTGGCAAAACCAAGTTTAGTAGACAAAATACATTGATAAAGCTTGATAAAGATCTCTGTGTTGGCCAAAATGTTGCAGTTCTTGTTTCAATAAACCTGCCTTCCTGCAGCAATTCTGGGTGCCTGAATCTAATTTATTTTGCCTAGTTGATTTTGCCTAGTTGAAAATGTTCTTAATACCTGTTTTTGATTTTCCAGGTTTATATCCTAGTGGATACACTATGCATTGAACATGGACATTGGAAATCTGAATGAGTTTTGTAAAGTAGTCTTTACTTCCATGCTTGTTGTCAATAAAGCTAATTTGAGCAGCATTTCACCTCTTCCATAACAAACCACCAAAATGGAGAATATGTTGAAATACTTACTATTTTCCATAGAATCATCAGGGTTCTCTACTTAATGAGGTTGTCTTGGTGGGTTAATACATGATTGAGGACCACTGGAAGGGGGTGCTATTATATCTTTATTAACTGATTATTTGTGTATATTTTTGAACAGCATGCCAGATTCTATGTTTATATACTGTATTAGTTATCATCATTGGTGCTTACAGTGATCATTTAACATGCATGTTTTTTTGCAAAAATACATGTTCATGAAACAGTAGCTAGTTTGAATGTAGAAAATGG